AACAGAGGCGTGTGGAGTAAGGAAACTTGGCTAACGTTTCACCCTGACCAGGAATTGAACCCAGGTTCCTCTCGCTTGCGAGACGAGTGTTCTAACCACTGAGCTACGGGACTCCATTTCCCAAAGGTTAGGTTTAAAAGGCGACTTGGCATCGGGAGTTACAGCCCTCTCCCCCTCCCACGCGCACACACACACATGTAATGGTTGAATAAGTGACTGCTGACCTCTCGCTCTCTCTCATTCACACATGAGGAAAATCCTTCATAGAAATACCAGGTTGGGGGGAGGCGGGGGGGTGTTATTGTTTGCTTTCCATTCCACTTGGGCGTGTCAGTGGATATTGCTGCAACAACAGTGTCCAACTGGAAAGCAGAGCACAGCATAGTACAGGAAATGACAATGGGCTTCCTCCGTGTACAATTGCCAGTGGCAATTCTGGCTAAATTCAGTGTTGCAATTTGAACTATTATACTCACAAGTTGCACTTTGGCTGTCCCAGCTCACCATATTTATTTGTGTGCAATGCACCTATGGATTTCAAATCTATTTTCATAAGCAAATTGTGTGTAAATTTACTGCGTATCTTTGCCAAAACCCAAACACTGTGTTTACTGAAGAGATCACTCCCACAAATCTGTCAGCGTCTGACAAACAGCAAAAATACATAATAATGCTTGTGACAATTCAAGCACTCCAAGACGTCAGCCGGCGTGAAAGACGCTATATAAATGCTTCACAGAATATACTGTAAAGTTGATTGACTGTATATTTTGTGAGTGAAATGTGAATGGATTGAGTGACCAAATTATTTGTTGAAGGGATCATTACCCCCGGAAAACAATCTGCCAATCGACTGACAACTGGGTTCCTATTTACTGCTAGGTAAACAGAGGCGTGTGGAGCAAGCAAACTTGCCTAAGGTTTCGTCCTGCTGGCTGAAAATTACTTGCCTTAAATAACGTTTTGCAAAAATAAAGCTGCTTTTTTCTAAAACAATCCCTCCAGATTTTTAAAAACTATGCGAGCTATTTCATTTGATCCCCAACCCGCATCGCTGCACACTTCCTGACCCTGCTCGCAATTGAATTGACATCCCCTTGTTGTATACAGTAGTTTCTTTAATTTTGAGTCAGGCCATTAATGGGAACACTTTGCCAGGAAACAGTGAGGAGAAAAACTATCAGGATTATCACCTCCTCCTAGTTGCAGAAGTTCACTGTGAAATTTTGTGGCAGAGCCTGAAACTATTTTCTCAGCAGATGGCTGAGAGGGTTCGTATGCCAATAATGAAAAGATAAAAACATTTGATAGTGAACACCTGATACTGCTGTAAATGAAATTGCAAATCACATTAAATATCTAATGGAATATTTGATTCTCTCATTGTTTTAATTCCAGCTATCTTGTACAATAATACCGACCTATCTGTTCCCTCCGCTCAGCGAACTCTGGCTTACTCCATGTCCCTCCGCCCTGCCCGCTCCACTATCGGCAGTCGAGCCTTCAGGCTTTCTGCCCCCACCCTTTGGAACTTCATCCCAGTCCCTTCGCCTCACCCCCCCCTCCCTTGCCTCCTTCAAGGCCCCTCTCAAGAACTGTCTCTTCGACCGCGCCTTCGGCCATCCTCCTACCTCCACCCTCCCTGCCTTCCACCCCTCCCAATCATAACCCCCAGCTTGGGTTCAAATCCTGCACTGTCCAACACCTTGGGACACCCTCCTGACGTGAAAGACGCAGTACAAATGGAATTTGTTGTTGTATAATGTCAGCCTCACTCAGTTAGTAGCACTGTCGCCTTGGAGTCAGAAGGTTTTGGATTCAAATGCCTTATCACACTGTTGAGACATCTCAAAGAGCTTCACGGAATATATTGTAAAGTGTATTTTGTGGGCAAAACTGCTGTGCACAATTGGCTGTCGTGTTTCGCCCACAAAATATACAGTCAATTCACTTTACAGTACATTCTGCAAAAGCTTTGAGATGTCGCAAAGTCGTGATAAGGTGCAATATCAAAATGCAATATTATAATTAAAATAATAATCCTTGCATTTTGATACAGCGCTTTACATAGTTTGAGTCGTCTCAAAGTGCTTCAGAGTATCCAAACAGAAATTCCACACATCCCACCTACACATGGAAGTTCCAGAGTAACGTGAATTGACTGTATAATGTGTGGGCGAATATGTTACATTTAAACTGCAAATTTCCAAAATAACTCCTTTTTTTAAATTTTCTAAAAATTTAGAAACCTTTAATTAAAAGATATTATTGATTTAGACAGATTTTCCAATTCTTAAAGGAAAAACTGGATGTTTGAATGAAAACCAAGTTTCAAAGTTGTCTATTCTCATTCCAAAGTTTCTCCTAAAATGATAATTACATTGAAGGCTTTTTTGTGTTGCAGGAAATGTCTCCAAGAAAACAATGTTGTACTTAAATGCAGCTCAAGTGCTCCCTCTTCTGGGATACGAGTCTCGGAGTATATAAAGGCAATCTCACCTTTTCCAAGGTACATAATTGGATTCACAATCACTTCATTAAGAATAAAAGTATGTTATAAAAAAGTTAATAAGTAATAATCCTGATGCATTTGATTCTGTTTTGCTCAGCCGGGTGTCTGACACATGCGGAAACCCATCACTGTGCTTAAGAGTATCCAAACCAAGCTGAGTTTCCATGCTTCCCACCTACACATGGAAATCCCTGAGATAGATTGTTGGAATGGAATATGCACTCTCTCCCTGGAGGGACACATCCTGTTTACCTAATTCCAGAGAGTTTTAGGCGCACATTGGCAAGAGCCAAGGCTTGGGGACATCAGAGTGTGCGTTGGGGTAACTGCTGGGTTCTAACCAGCTAAAACCGCATGGCTTGCCATTGAGAGCACTATCTGGCATACTTTTCCTGCTGCTTGTCCAGCGGGGACCACCCTACCTATTGGGGCTTTGGCTTGCAGGGTTAACAGGAGCTGAGTGGGATGACTCCCTGCCCCCAGTGACTGGTCTGCACTTCCAGTCCTGCCGATGAGCCGGGCTGGGCTGTGCTGTCATCAACAGTACCCTTGAATACTGCGGACCCTCCTGGCTCAGGAACCGGACTGGAGACCGTCACGGAGGTCTGGCTCGATTCCCACATTCTGTTGGAACCTTGGAGCCAGTTGAGAGGTGCCATCAAAGCAGAAAGTGCGCTGGAGCTTTGGCAAGGAAGGGCAGGTTGGAAATCGGTCGGTAATTTGTGAGGTTAGAGAGGTCATGTCAAGGGTGTTTTTTTGAGGAGGGGAGTGATGACAGCGGTTTTCAGGGGGAAAGGAACAAATTCTGAGCAGAGGTACTGGTTGATTGTGTCGGCCAGCAGGGAGGCGAGGAAGGTGAGTTGGGTGACCAGCAGCTGGGCGGGGAGGGGGAGAGGCAGCAGGTGGTGGGCTTCATCTGGGAGATGGTGGTTGAGAAGGAGGTGGGAGTAATCAGGAAAAAGGAGTATAGGGAGGGGGGGAGTAGGAAGGGCCGTGATGGAAAGAGGGGATTGGTGTAGACAGTCCGGAGGGTGCAGAAGGTTACGCAGGGGAGGAGAATGTAGCCAAGCGGATATGTTCAATCTTTGACACGAAGAAGTCTAGGACCTCTTCACACTTGGATTTGAATGAAGATGGAGCCAGGTTGGGGGAGTGCAGGAGGAGGTGAAAAATGGTGGGGAACAGTATCTCGTGGTTCTTTTTGGCTTTAATGGTTTTGGAGTAAAAGCTAGTTTTGGCCTGCCAGAGAAAGGAGGGGATAGGTGTGGAGATGTTCGAGCCACAGCTGCCGGTGGATTGTGAGGACGGATTTGTGCCATCTGTGCTCAAGAGTCCAGGTTCGCGTTTTGAAAGGAGAAATACAAAGGAGAAATAGGGAGTGAATCTTTTTACTCCCGTGAAGTGCTTTGAAATGGTCTCTCAAAGTGAAAAGCGGTTTACTAAATAATAAATGATTATTATTATAACTTGAGGGAAGAGGTGCTAGAAAAAGCCCAGCAGGATGGCTTCAGCTTTCTTGTTATTTTGCTGAACGAGGTTAACGCTTTCTAGGACTAGTCGTCTGACAGACCCTTATCCAAGGCATCAGTCACCTGGAATTGAGGGTGGAGACGGAGGGGTAGAGTTGAGTTTAATTGACATACAGATGAACGTTAATCCTAGGATGGTGATGATGTCACCGCATACAGATGAGAAAGAGAAGACCAGCTTTGAAGCTCTGTGGAACGCTATAAGTGACTTTGCAGGGACAGTAGGAGATAGAACCATAGAATCTTGCAGCTCATAAGAAGACCATTTGGCCCATCGTGTCTGTGCTGCTCCTTTAAAGCGCAATCCTTCCCGTTCCATCAGTCCCATTTGAGGAGACGTAGTGAAGACACTGGACCCACGAGTGTCCAGGCATGGAGGTAAAGCAGAAAGCAAAGACAACAAAGAAGAAAGACCACAGACTGAAAAGATGTCATTGGTGATTTGACCAGGGATGTCTGTCTCTATGTTTTGTGGGAGGGACAGAAATCAGACAGGAGTGTCTCGAATAAGGAGTGGTAAGGGCTATCTTGTACAATAATACCGACCTATCTGCTTCCTCGCTCAGCAAATTCCGGCCTGCTCTATATCCCTCCGCCCTGCCCGCTCCACCATCAGCGGTCGGGCCTTCAGTCTCTCTGCCCCCACCCTCCATCCCAGTCCCTCTGCCTCGCCACCTCCCTTGCCTCCTTCAAACCCTTCTCAAGACCCTCCTCTTCGACTGTGCCTTCAGGCACCCGCCTACCACTCCCATCCCTGCTCTCTACCCCTCCTGATCCCAAACCCTTGCTCGGGTGCAGATCCCTGACTGTCCAGCAACTTTGGATATCCCCCTGTCTTGAAAGGCGCTGTTGTTTGTTACCTCTTCCTGCTCTTTTGATGCATCTGAAAGTGCCAAGAAAGTTTAGAGGGAGGTTTAAACAGGTAAACATGTACTCGAGGGAATACTAAATGATCTTACCTTCAGAGTAAACTTGTTGGATATCATGACTACAGGAATATCTTGCTTAACTGCTTAACCTGCAACAACATTTTAAGCAAATTCTTTATACCTCAGTGTATCTTGTACGGTATATTGTGGACTGTGTGAGGGTTTTAGCATACTGTCTGTGGTCTATCAGTATGATATATACACAGGGTCAGTGTGATGTACATACAGTGAGGTACACAGTGTCAGTGTGATGTACAGTGTCAGGGTGATGTACACAGTCTCAGGATGGTACATGCCGTGTCAGGGTGATATACACACTGCATCAGTGTGATGTACACATAGTGAGGTAACGTACACACAGTGTCAATGTAATGTACACAGTGCAGTAAGGTACACACAGTGTCAGTGATGTATACATAGTGAGGTGCACAGTGTCAGGGCGATGTATACAGTGTCAGTGTGATCTACACACAGTGTTAGTGTGGCGTACATACAGTGAGGTACACACAGTGTCAATGTAATGTACACAGTGTCAGGATGCTATACGCAGTATCAGGGTGATGTACACAGTGTCAGTGTGATAATACAGTGAGGTACACAGTGGCAGTGTGATGTACACAGCGATGTACACAGTGTCAGTATGACATACACACACTGTTAGTGTGATGTAGTGTCAGTATAATGTACACACAGTGATGTACGTAGTGTTAGTGTGATGTACAGTGTCAATGTGATGTACTCAATGTCAGTGTGTACATGACACACAATGTCAGTGTCATGTACACAGTGTCAGAATTGTATACACAGTGTCAGGGTGATATACACAGTGATGTACCGTGTCAGGGTGATGTACACACAGTGATGCACACACAGTGATGTATACAGTGTCAGTGTTATATACACATAGTGTCAGTGTGATGTTCACACAGTGATGTACACACAGTGATGTACACAATGTCAGTGTGATGTACACAGTAAGATACACAGTGTCAGGGTCTTGTACACAGTATCAGGGTTATTTACACACAGTGATGTACACACAATGATGTACACAGTGATGTACACAATGTCAGTGTGATGTACACAGTGTCAGTGTAATGTACACACAGTGATGTACACACAGTGATGAGAGACAACTTTCTCCAGCTGAACGTCAGCAAGACCGAGGCTCTCCTGATCGGCTCGCGCCAGCATCTTCGCACCTCGGGTGCCGGCAGCATCAGTATCCACGGCTGCACACTCAACCTCACTAAGTCAGTCAGGAACCTGGGTGTCTTGTTTGACCCTTCCTTTCCCTTCAACTGTCCTTTCACCCCCACATCTGCGCCATGACCGGCACTGACTACCACGACCTCCGCAACATTGCCAGACTCCGCCACTGCCTCACCCCTCCGGCTGCCGAAACCCTTACCCACACATTCGTCACATCAAGGCTCAATTATGGAAATTCCCTCATCGGTCTTCCCAACTCCTCCCTTCACAACCTGCAGATCATCCAAAACTCTGCAGCTCGTGTACTCTCACACACCAGCCTCCGTGACCCCATCACTCCCACCCTCGCCCGACTCCACTGGCTCCCCATCCCCCAGAGGATCAAATTCAAGGTCCTGGTCCTCACTTTCAAGACCATCCATGGCCTCGCCCCCTCCTACCTCTTTGACTGCTGACTCCCTACCAACATGCTCACTCCCTCCAATCAGCGGGCTCCGAGCTGCTCCATGTCTCCCGCCCAACCCACCCTCCCATCGGTGGTCGAGCCTTCAGCCTCTCAGCCCCGAGGCTCTGGAACTCCATTCCCCAGTGCCTTCGCCGCCTCCTCCCTTTCCTCCTTCAAGGCCGGTCTCAAGACCTTTCTCTTTGACCGAGCCTTCAGCTCCCCTCTCGACTCTCTTCCCCCTCCTCGCTCCCTCCCTTCCCTCCCCTTACCCGGACCATTTCCCCCTTCCTTGCTCCCTCCCTTCCCTCCCCTCACCCGGACCATTTCCCCCATGCTTGGGTCCTGACCCAACTGTACAGCGCCTTGGGACATCCTCCCGACGTGAAAGGCGCTCAATAAATGGAATCTTGTTGTTGTTGTTGTAAAGACCCTCCTCTTCAATTGTGCCTTGGGTCACCCTCCCATCTCTCTGCCGTCCCTCACCCCTATCCCACCCCTCCCCCATGCTCAGTTCCTGACCCGACTGTCCAGCGCCTTGGGACGTCCTCCCGACATGAAAGGCGCTCTATAAATGTAATTTTGTTGTTGTTGATGCTGTACACATCGTGTCAGTATGATGTACAGTGTCAGGTTGATGTACACATAGTGAGGTACACAGTGTCAGTGTGATGTACACACAGTGATGTACACATTGTCAGTGATGTACACAGTGATGTACATGGTGTCAGGGTGATGTATTCATTGATGTACACGATGTTAGGGTGATGTTCACAGCGTCAGGGTCATGTGCAGTGATGTACACAGTGATGTACACAGTGTCAGGGTGATGTACACACAGTGATGTACACATGGTAATGTACACAGTGTCAGGGTGATGTACACACAATGAGGTACACTGTGTCAGGATGGTATACACAGTCTACCGGGGAGGTGTACACGGTGTGGAGGGGTGTACACGGTGGGTGGGGGGTTTACACAGTGCAGGGGGTATACACGGTGGGGGGGTGTACACGGTGGGGTGTACACAGTGGGGTGGGGGGTGTATATGGGGGGGGGTGTGTGCATGGTGTGGGGTGTACACGGTGTTGAGGGTTGGGGGGGTGTGGGGCTGTACAGGGTGGGGGGGTGGAGGGGGGGGTGGGGGTGTACACGGGGGGGGGTGTACACGTTGTGGGGGGGTGTACACGGGGGGGGGGGTGTACACGGTGCGGTGGGGGTTGGGGGGGGTGTACACGGTGAGGGTGGGGGGGGGGTGTACACGGTGGGGTGAGGGGGGTGGGGGTGGGTGTGGGGGTGTACACGGGGTGTGGGGGGGTGTACACGGCGGGGGGGGTGTGGGGTGGGGGGGGTGTACACGGGGTGGGTGGGTGTACACGGTGGGGGGGTGTACGGGGTGGGGGGGTGTACACGGGGTGGGGGGGTGGGGGGGTGTGGGGGGGGTGTACACGGGGTGTGGGGGGTGTACACGGGGTGTGGGGGTGTACACGGTGGGGGGGGGTGTGGGGGGGGAGGGGTGACGGTACCTGAGGTCGGTGCCCGGGAAGGAGCCGCGCAGGCGCCGCGAGCACTGACCGCTGACCCGGAAACACTCCCCCTGAGCGCCAACAGCAGCGGAAGTCAGGCCGTGAGTGACTGACCTCCAGTTACATTGTTATATTATTATTATATGTCCGCACTGCACTGCACTGTCATATTATTATATTACACTGTGATCATATATATATATACTGTGCATATGTGGTCTTCGGTGTTATATTATTCTGTACTGTGTGATTGTATATACTGTCCTTATTGTTCTATATACTGTGTCTCGTGAGTGACTCTCCTCTGTGTTATTATATTATAGTGTGTGATTACATATACACACACACTCCTCACTGCTCTACTGTCTTATAGCGTGTGATTATATACACTATATATACTGTCCTTAGTGTATCTGTTACTATCATATTATTATAGTGATACACAAACACTGCCTTTACTGTACTGTTAATATCATTATATTATTATACTGTGATTCTCTTTCCCTCTTTACATAAATCATATAAATATGGTGACCAAAAAGTCATCATATGTATATATGTGAGTGACTTCCCTGTACTGTTAATATTGTTATTATTATTTCATTATTATTTTGTTATTATACTGTATGATGCTATATATAACAATCCCAGGCTGTAAGTGACTGTACTTGTAAATACACTGTCATATTAATACATTAACATGTTGTTGCGTTGACATTTGATTATGGTTTAAGTTAGATTTGTCTATGTATTTTAAAGGAATTGCAATTATATATATTAATATGACAGTATATTAATAGTACAGCAGTAAAGCTTTGACTGCACTAAACTATTATTATCATATTACATATTAAGATATATATAAAACAAGGGCATCCTATGCGTGATTGCACTGTGTGTCAGAATCAAAGTGTTAAGATAAACTGTGTTCGGTGATCACTGTTGACTTATTATTTACAATGAACCTATTCTTCTTGGGGGAAGGTCAGTGGGATCTCCTTGGAGCTAAACTGACATGTTTGCCAACATAATATCGTAATCGAGCGAGCCCTCTGTTACCATATCTAATCCGGACCCTGAGCCAGGCAGGTCTGCTGCATTCCAAGGCACTGCTGATGACAGCACAGTTCAGCCCGGCTCATCGGCAGGACCTGGAGGGACAGACCAGTCACTGGGGGAGGAGTCATCCCATTCATCTGTTAACCCTGCAAAGTCTTAACGGGTAGGGTGGTCCCCGCTGCACAATCAGCGGGAAAGCTTGTCAGACAGTGCTCTTATTGGCAAGCTATGCGGTTTTAGCTGGTTAGACTCCAGCAGTTACCCCAACGCACATTCTGGGGTCCCCAAGCCTTGGTTCTTGTCAACCTGCGCCTAATACTTTCCGGAATTAGGTAAACAGGATGTGTCCCTCCAGGGAGAGAGTGCGCATTCCATTCCAACAATCTGTCTGGGATTTCCATGTGTAGATGGGATGCAGGGAAACCTCTGCTTGGTTTGGAGACTCTCAAGCACTGTGATAGGTTTCTGCATGTGTCAGACACCCGGCTGACCAATTTTTTTTTACTGCCTCCAATGGTGAGAGGGAATAGAATGAAAAAGTGACAGCAAAACATGTCAAATAAAAACAAAGCTTGTCAATCAAAATGTAATAGATTTTGTTTTTTAACAGATTCACGTACAGTATTCAGTTTTGTGTTTGAAAATAGCTATAGCAAGTTACATCCGTTGTTATTGGGTTGTTATCATTTGAGTATGGTGTTATGTAGATTTTGCCATGCATTTTAGAGGAATTGCAACCTTATTGAAAATGTTGCTGGTAAAGATAAATTGGCATCCCTATTTGTCTTCTGATCACTGCTAAAAGATTAGCTTTGTGTCTGTCTCCTCTAGTGGATTATCCCGCCCTCACACATACTCCTGGGGCATTCCCCACGGCTCTATCCTTTTCCTCATCTACGTACTCCCTCTCGGTGACATCATCCCGCAGACATGGTGTTAACTTTCATATGTATGAGGACACCCAACTAATAATGCTTATATTTGACATCGTGCCATCTCATGTCATCAAGACGTCTCAAAGCATTTCACAGAATATACTGAGAAGTGACTATGTATTTTGTGGGCGAAATGCAGCAGCCAATCGCGCACAGCAATCATAATAATAATCCTTGCATTTGATATAGCGCTTTTCAAGTCTTCGAGACGTCTCAAAGCGCTTCACAGAATATACTGTAAAGTTAATTGACTGTATATTTATGGGCGAAACATGGCAGCCAAATGTACACAGCAGTGTCCCACAAACAATTGTGGATTAAATGACCAAATTATTATTTTATTTTATCCCCAGAAAAGAGATCCGCCAATCGACTGACAACCGGGTTCCTACTTACTACTAAGTAAACAGAGCTGTGTGGAATAAGGAAACTGGCCCAACATTTCGTCCTGTGGAGTCCTGTAGATCAGTGATTAACACGCTCGCCTCCAAGTCAGAGGACTCTCGTTCGATTCCCGGCAGGGCGAAATGTTGGGCAATTTTGCTTACTGCATACGCCTCTGTTTACTCAGCAGCAAGTAGGAACCCGGTTGTTAGTTGATTGGCGGATCGCTTTTCCGGGGGTAAGAATTCTTTAAAAAAAATTGGTCACTCAATCAACAACTACAGATCTCTTCACACCCTAACAACTCCCTGCCTCTCTGACCTGCTCGTACCCAATTTCTCCGCCTGCCCCACTTTGTCCGGCTGACACAGACTTGCTGCACGTCCCCAGCTCTCTCCTCACCAGGATTGGCGGCTGTGCCTTTAGCTACTACACCCAAACCCCTAGAATTATCTGGCTCGGCTCTTCTTTATTTTTAAATCCCATCTGAAAACCTGCTCCGTCTCTCTCGCAGTGGTCTGAGACTCATTTTAATGAAATGAAATGTGATAGGTGCTATTTAAATGTAAGTTATTTTGGAATCATAGAATATTACAGCAATGAAGGAGGCCATTCGGCCCATCGTACCTGTCCTGGCTCTTCGGAAGAACTACCCACTCCCCCGCTCTTACCCCATAGCCTTGCAAGTTTCTCCTTTTCAAGTACCTATCCAATTCCCTTTTGAAGGTTGTTATCGAATCTGTTTCCACCAGCCTTTCAGGCAGTGCATTTCAGACTGTAACAACTCTCTGGGTAAAAAATATACTCCTTGTCTCCCCTCTGGTTCTTTTGTCAATTATCTTAAATCTGTATCCCCTGGTTACCAACCCACCCGCCAGAGGAAACAGTTTGTCCCTATCAGTACCCCTCATTGGTATTGGTATCATGTTAATAATGGTTTTGTGTACCAATAATATTTTTGAAAACAACATTATTGGTTGTAGTAATTGATTGCTGTAAATGTATTTACATTTAGTAACCAGTTTTGTGAAAAGTATTTTAACAATAAGAGCATTCTGCTTTTTGAGGGAATTAATGAGAAAAATCACAAGGAAAAATCATAAACAACTACAATTTGAAGGCTCTGACTGCCAACTAGCCAAGAGAATCCCAGATAACAGAAACAGAATTGGGTTAAGAATTGCTTGTCTGTTTTCACAAAATCGGTTTACATGAAGAAGACACTTCGGTCCAAGCGAACCCATCCTTCAGAACACCTACCCTACCGTCCCCCCATTACAGCATCCAACTGCTTTTTAAATGAGTCCCAGTGTCCTGTCCTCAACCCCACTTTCTGGTAACCTATTCCAGTCGTTAATTAACTCCTTGGAACTAATAAACCTTATAGCTTTCCTTTGATTTTGCAGTTTTTTTAAAGGTAAGGTAATGAATGCTTGTACAAACAGTGCACTGCTTGTACTGTTACTGAGAAATGTTATTTTATTTGTAGGTGTATGAATTGGAGATGGGTCTCAAAACTATATGGAAAAGCTACAGAGTTTTGATTGTTATGGGAACAAGCCTGGGACTGATTCACTTGGGATGGTATAATATGAAATCTAGTGACATTTTCAAGAGCAAAGACCAGGAATTTATGCCAGAACCTCCACTTGTGACATACGCCATGCAACAGGAAGGCCAATCAAAGGGAACAGAGTAAATTCATTTGTTTCTCTAGGTATTGTACACTTCCTTTGTTGGTGCTTACATCTGCATGAAGTATTTTCATTTCAGGCAATAAGAGATTAACACACACCATTAAGTTATAGAGGGTGAATGAGAGATGTGCTCACAAAATCAGAGTAAATATCGTCTACAAAAGCACTTCTTAATCCACAGTTTAAAGCTAAATGAGCATTTACATCTTCGAAAGCTAGAAGTGAAGGACTTTAAATAGTCTTTACATTTGGAGTCCTGTAGCGTAGTGGTTAGCACGCTCGCCCTCGCAATCGAGAGAACCCGGGTTTGATTCCAATGCAGGATGAAACATTAGGCAAGTTTGCTTACTCCACACATCTCTGTTTACCCAGCAGTAAGTAGGAACCAGGTTGCTAGTCGAATTGCAGATCACTTTTCCAGGGTATTCCTTCCCCCAAAAAATGTGGTCACTCAATCCACGACTGTTTGTAGGATACTGCTGTGTGAAGTTGGCTGCCGCGTTTCACAGACAAAATACACTGTCACTCCACTTTACAGTATATTTTGTGAAGCGCTTTGAGACGTCTCAATGAAGTGATAAATTGCTGTATTAAATGCAAGGATTATTGTTATTATTATTCATTCTTTTTTCCCTCCTGTCTGGAGGGCTTTTCTCTGCCTCTTATCTAACAGGTCAGCTGAGTTAGAAAGCTGCTTGTTTAGGGATGTGATCATACTGCTTTGTGACACGGCAATCCTTCTGTGTCATTGCTGTGATCATTAGAACTATCCGTTAACAAAACGTTTGAAAAAGTTACCCATTTGCCATCTTCTGTGCAGTATTAGTGCCAGTGCGGTAAACTTCATTTCAAGCTTATAGAAAGACGTAATGCCCTTTAAAGGTGCCACGATATCCCTCATGATGTCCATGTTGTGCATGTCCACTGACTTGGTTTCAGCTTCTTTAACAATGTTTGTTAATCCAGTTTTAATGCGCTGACATTTCCATTGTACTTTATTTTAAACCTGTTTTATGTATTTGATTTCCTTTACCTTTGGAATAGTCTTGGAGCTAATCCACAGCCACCTAACCCCAGCAAAGTTCTGTTTTGTGTGTCAGCCTGGTTCATTCCTGTCTCTGCATCAGAAAGTTGTGGGTTCAAGCATCATTATCATCATGATAATAATAATCCTTGCATTTGATATAACGTCTTATCACGTCATCGAGACTTCTAATTGCTTCACAGAATATACTGTAATGTCGATTGACCGTATTTTGTAGGCGAAAAATGACAGCCAATTGCACACAGCAGTGTCCCACAAACGTCGTGGATTGAGGTTTTGCCCTGCCCGAGAATCAAACCCGGGTCCTTTCCCTTGTGAGGCGAGTGCGCTAACCACAGTGTCTATGGGACTCCATCGTGTTGAGACTTTGAACTCACACAGTTGTTCTGCATTGTCAGAGGTGCCATCCTGCGGACGAGAGAACCTTCTCAGATGGATGTTAAAGATCTTGTATTTGAAAAGAGAAGAGAGTTTCTCTCTCCTGGTGTCCCGGCTGACATTCCCCCAGATAAAATCCGCCATTGACTTTATGTTTGTGGGGCATTGTTGTACACAAATTTGTTGAGCGATGGGAATTAATACAAAATAAATTAAGAGAAACATTTAAACATACTGTAAGCAGTTTTCCACAATGTAATGGTAATTGATTTAGTTGAAAACTGGAGCTATGTCCCCAGAACAGGTAACTACACAGCAATATTCAACACGTTATCAAAATGTGCTGACTGACTGCCCCCAAAATGCAGTCAGCTGAGATATGAAAAGGCACCAGCCATATCAAATGCAAGGGGGAACGATGTTTCCCCCCCGTGCCTTCACCTCCCCTCTCGACTCTCTACCCCCTCCTCGCTCCCTCCCTTCCCTCCCCCTGACCATTTCCCCCCTGCTCGGGTCCCGACCCAACTGTCCAGCGCCTTGGGACGTCCTCCCGACATGAAAGGCGCTCTGTAAATGAAATTGTGTTATTATTGTTTCGCCCACAAAATACAGTCACTCCACTTGACAGTATACTCCATGAAGTGCTTTGAAATGGCTCAACTATAAAGCGCTATTTCAAATGAAGTATTCACATTCCAAAACAATTCAATTCGCAAAGAGAACTTCGATGTCTCCATGTGCAAAATATGACACATTATCTCTTATTATTATTACAGGGACGGTTAAATTGCATTGTGCGTTGACCGAAGAATGAAGAATAAAAGTTGGTTACGAAAAAACTGGCTTCTTGTGGCAGGACTGACCTTTTTGGGAATTCACACCGTCACGTATATAATGCAGAAAGCTGTGAAAAATTCTACTCAGTCCAGTGTGGAATTTAAGAAGAACATTGATGAATAGCATATTCGGATCACCTGCAGGCCAGATCTTTCCCAGCGCTGTCCCACCCTTTGACCGTGAATTATACTTGAAATGTACTTTGGTGGATTTCCAAATCAGTAATTTTATAATGTGCATGGTAATGGACACCAATCAAAGGAGCTTTATTTAAAAGTCCCAAGTGAAATATGTATAAAGTCCAGGCTTCTAAACAATAAAGTTGCCGTTCGCAGAAACTACTTTTCTGTCTCGAAAACCATTCCACGCTCGATAAGTAATGTCTTGCGTTGCATCTGAGACACCTTCCTTCTGCTACTCTGGGCCATTAAATAATGAGGACGTTTGTCAAGCTATTTCCACTTTCAGGTGTATTGTACAGTCATGTTACGGCCCATTTGGTAGACTAAAGCTGATTCACAATGCCATGGGAGGTTACGTTCAAACCACATCACAATCTTCTGCCCTGCTGCGTAGCGTCTCTGTGTCCCACCCAGTGGTAAAGTGGCTAATCACCTCGGTCTCCAGACATGTTTCCCAATTTAGTGATTCTGGACTGTTCACAGCTGTCCTCTGTTGCAATTTGATTGAAAAGGCAAAGCGATGTAATATAACAGGCAGCCGAATTGTTAGGATACAGAGCCACCTTCTGAATATGTGCATTGACTACCTGAATTCCGAGGAATGTAGCTGCAGAATACAGATTGATTTTAGTCACAGCAAGGCTTTGCTGTCTCTTGTCCGCACAGTAATAACAAGTAAACCTACTTGCATGCTGACCGTAAAAGAGGCAGACTACGTCAGTTCCCTGATATTGAAGGCTTTCCTTCACACAGTGCCCTCTGTCATTGGAGAGGACGTGTCCTTGGGACAGACGCTGATCGTTTCTGCTGAGGGACAAAGAGTTAGTGACTCCCGTGTGTTTCCTGGGCTCTTGATCCAAATATCCATTTCGCATTCCAGAACAATTCAATTCGCAAAGAGGACTTTGGGCCCCTTTAAAGTCGCCCTGTTCGATGTCTCCATGTCAGGAGAGGTGGTCGACTCTGGAATTGGAACCTGGGTGGTAGAATCGGGTTCGTGCCTGGAAGATTGGTCCCTCACACAGCTGATGCGAGTTGGGAAGCAGTTAGCTCGTGATCAGGTTGGCCTTGTGCTCTGTCAGAAGGTGATCCATCCAATCCTTAAACAGTATCTCTGGGAGCAAGACGTGATGGTGGAAGATCGACTGGGAGCTGCTCTGGTGGAACCTTTGACCAAAATGACAGGTTAACAACAACAAATTGCATTTATATAATAATAATCCTTGCATTTGATATAGCGCTTTATCAAGTCTTCAAGACGTCTCAAAATGCTTCACAGAATATACTGTAAAGTGAATTGACTGTATACTTTGTGGGTGAAACACGGCAGCCAATTGCACACAGCAATGTCCCACAAACAGTCATGGATTGAGTGGCCAAATTATTTTTTGGGGGCCGGATTATTATCCCCAGAAAAGCGATCTGCCAATTGCCTAATAACTGGGTTCCTACTTACTGCTGGGTAAACAGGTGTGTGGAGTAAGGAAATTGCCCAACGTTTCACCCTGCCCTAGAATCGAACCCGGGCCCTCTCGCTTGAAGGTGAGTGCTCTAACCACTAAGCTGCGGGACTCCACTATTTATATTTATATAGCGTCTTTCACGTCGAGAGGAAGTCCTGAAGTGGTGGACAATGAGGAGTTTGCATCCGAGCTGTGGCTGCAATCAGAGGGTTGGAGGGCAAAGTTTGGGGTGGAAAAGGAAGATCTTGAGATGGACCTTGAAGGAGGCAAAGGAAGAGGAGAGGCAGAGGGGGTCCGGGATGGAGTTGGTGAGGGTGGGGGCAGAAAGGATCAAGGGCCAGCCGCTGATAGTGGAGCAGGCCAGTGCCTGCTGAGAGACAGGTTGTGAGGTTAATGATGATAAGTATGGGGCAGCCCTTGTGAGGGATCAGGTATTCAAACCCCAGGCTGTGCTGACTTTGCTGGTCTCTCATGGGAGGCTAAATTGGGCCTAATCACCTCCCCATAATCCTGTCTGAGGAATAGTGAGTGGCACGGGACACACACTTAGGATAGGAATGTGGAGCATTTGCCTCACAAGCGAGAGACCTGGGTTCGATTCCCAGACAGGGCGAAACGTTAGGCATGTTTCCTTACTCCACTCGCCTCTGTTTACCAAGCGGTAAGTAGGAACTCGGTTGTTAGTCAATTGGTGGATCGCTTTTCCGGGGGTAATAATCCCTTAAAAAATGAATAATAATAATTTGATCACTCAATCTACAACTGTTTGTGGGACACTGCTGTGCGCAATAGGCTGCTGCGTTTTGCCCACAAATTATACATTCAATTCACTTTACAAGTTTTGATTCAAAGCAACGTGAAGCTGGCTTCCTGCACTACATTGCTATAGTTGTAATACGGCGACTTTTATGCCCAGAGGACATCTCAAAGTGCTTCACAGCAATCCAGTCCTGGGGGGTGGGGTTGCAGTGGTGGAGGTGTTCGGACAAGATGTTAAACCGAGATCCCGTCGGCCTGTTCAGATGGACATTAAAAATATGCCGCAGCGCCATTAGAAAAGAGAAAGGAGTTTCTCTCACGATATCCTGGCCACAATCCCCCAGATAAAATTGGTCACTCACTACATGGCTGTTTGTGGAACGTTGCTGTGCATAATTGGCTGCCACATTTCGCCCACAAAATACATCGTCGCTCCACTTTACAGTGTATCCTGTGAAGTGCTTTGAGAGTCTCAATAACATAATAAGGCACTAGGTCAATTGCAAGGATTATTATTATTATTATTGCCATTTCAGATGATACTAATAACTCATTAGGTAAGCTGGGTGTGTCCCTCCAGGGAGGAGTGTGCATTATATTTCAGACACAGCAACTGGAACACCTTGGTTTGCATACCCTTGAGCATGTTTTGGCTGATCAAACATGCTTTGGTTGTATAATAAGAGTAATAATAATAATCCTTGTATTTGATGTAGAATAATAATTCCTTTAAAAAATAATAATTTGGTCATTCAATACACGACTGTTTGTGGGACACTGCTGTGCGCAATTGGCTGCCACATTTCCCCCACAAAATATACAGTCAGTTCACTTTATAGTATATTCTGTGAAGCGCTTTGAGATGTCATAACAACACGATAAGGCGCTATATCAAATGGAAGTATCATCATCATTATTGTAAAGTGTAAGGTGAATGCGGCAGCAGATTTGCACACAGCAATGCTCTACAAAATAGCCATGAAGTGAGTGACCAAGTTTATCTGGGGGATTGTTAGCCATGACATGAGAAGATGCTCCCTTGTCTTTTGGAATAGTAATGGAGGGATGTTTTTTAACAAACGGAACCTCAGTTTAACATCTCATTCAAATGACAATACCGACTGAATCGAGGGGGAAGTATGCATTGTATTCCAGACGCAGAAACTGGGACACCCTGGTTTGCATACTCTTAAGCATGTTTTTGATGTGTGTCAGCGACTCGACTGACAAACATGCTCTGGTTATATAATAATAATCCTTGTGTTTGATATAGTGTAATAATCCCTTAAAAAAACAATAATAATTTGGTCACTCAATCTACGACTGTTTGTGGGACGCTTCTGTGCCCAATTGGCTGCTGCGTTTCGCCCACAAAATATACAGTCATTTCACTTTACAGTATATTCTGTGAAGCGCTTTGAGACATCTCAAAGACGTGATAAGGCGCCATATCAAATGCAAGGATTATTAAGGATTATTATTATAGAGTATAAGGTGATTGCTTTTCATTACAAATTGAACGTTTTTTTTAAATAGAAAGCCTTATTTGACAAATGGGTTGTTTTATGGCTTGATTGTTTGATCACCTGGGTCAAACTGTACCTCAACCACTCAACGGACTTGTTCTGTGTATTACACAATGTAATTTCATTCATGTGCCTGTTCAGGTTTTCTCGGCATCCATTCCCACTAGACGCTTTCCTGCGTGAAGGGCACTATATAAATGCAAGTTGTTGTTCACTAACCATTGAGATGCCAACCCTGATGTGAAAGGCGCTATGATATATAAATGTAAATTTTATGGTACATTGTGGTGCTGTTGTAGTTTGAAATGATTTGCTGCTGGATGTTGCCAAGTTTGAAGAAGTCTGAGTTTCCCGTGCAAGGCGAAAAGTTGCTAAAGTTTGCTTACTCCACACGCCTCTGTTTAGCCAGCAGTAAGTAGGAACCCAGTTGTTACTCGATTGGTGGATCGCTTTTTCTGGGGGTAATAATTCCTTTGAAAAAATATTGACCACTCAATCCACAACTATTTGTGGGACGCTGCTGTGCGCAATTGGCTGCCACATTTCGCCCCTAAAAAAAACAGTCAATTCACTCTGCAGTATATTCTGTGAAGCGCTTTGAGACGTCTCGAAGACATGATAAGGCGCTATATCAAATGCAAGGATTATTATATAAGATCAAAATGAATCTCAGTCAGTGGATTTTCTCTGTTTCTATGTAAAATGCTGATCGTTTTCATGTGGGTGTGTTTTTTCTGCTCTTGGATTTTACTAGGTGCAGAATCCATTAGTTCATATCAGCGATCCATTCCAGCCAACTGCTACGGCAAACTGAAAAGTTGGTGTGTTGTCAAGTTTGGTTCCAAACAGTTTCTGCATCTGATACCTGTTGACGACAGCCCTGTGTGTAGTCTGTTGCTGTGTAATCGGAGTGAAGCTGGATTAAATGAGCTGAAGGTATTTATGACATATAAATCATAATAATAATCCCCACATATTCATTTAGCAGCTTATCATTCAGCTGACACGGCTCAAAGCGCTTCATAGGATTTACTGTAAAGTGTAATGACTGTGTATTTTGTATACGGATGCAGCTGACGATTTTCACACAGCAAAGTCCCACAAACAGCCTGGAGCGAGTGACCAATTTTATCTGGGGGATTGTTGGCCAGGACACCGGGAGAGAGAGAGAGAGAGAGAGAGAGAGAAACTCCCATCTCTTTTTGAGTAGTGTAACGGGATCTCTTAATGGTACTTGAACATTGTGGTTACCATCTCATCTGAAAGACGGAATCTCTGACAAAGCAGCCTCCCCGCAGCACTGCACCGGATTGTGTCAGCCTAGACTGAGCTCAAAGTCCCAACATAGGAGTTGAATCCAGAACCTTCTGATTCAGAGACCAGAATGCTGCAGACTTAGCCAGGCTGTCACCTAGCATATTTATGTCTCCAAACACTGTTCAAAAACGTGAATCAGAACCATGAGGGAACTGAAGCTGAAAATTTTCTCTCTCTCTCGATTTTGTTAGAAGTCGGTCTCTTTTGAATCTCTGCCCATAATTTAGATGAAAATAGCAGCAAACAGATTGAAGGATGATTGTGTTCGAGGGAGAGAGGATTATCAGCTTGAGATTCTGCAGAACAAATAAAGACTCATTGCTTCCAGACTTCATTAGTCCTGCTCCCCTCCCCGCCACCCCGATAGAATATCTAAGCTAAGGCACAACCCAACCTTCTTACAGGGTACGATGACCCCAGTGTCTTTAAGTAAAGTGACTTGCAGTCATTAAAATTCAAAGATTTTTAGCATTCATTTTTCTCCCAAGTACAACTTGTATAGCATCTCAGTGTGATTTCCCATTTAGTTATTTTTCACCCATTGTCACCATCACTTGGTTCTATCCTCCTGCCAACGACAGAGAGAGAGAGAAAACTCTCTCATCGGTCGCCAGTGATTCATCAGTGTTCAGCCCTGTTGGGGACACGATTAATGACATTTTAAGAATAGCTGAGCTCTTTTGTTTCATTATTTTGCATTTCAATTTGATTTGATGTTAAATGTGAGAGCTATTTCCTGCTGACCAGCCACTGTGGCTGCTGCCTCCAATGCTATGTGGTCAGTCGCAGCTTTCCATTGTGCTGGGTTAGATCTGGTTTCAGGGACAATGTGACGAGAGCTTTTTGGACTTCTTTGGGAGGTCGGCTGGGGTCTGACACATATGGAAATCCATCACCATGCTTAACAATATGCAAACTAAGCTGGGATTTCCATGCATCCCACCTACACATGGAAATAATAATAATAACCCTTGCATGTGATATAGCACTTTTCACGTCTTTGAGACGTCTCAAAGCGCTTCACAAACTATACTGTAAAGTGAATCGACTGTATATTTGTGGGAGAAACGCAGCAGCCAATTGCGCACAGCAGTGAGTGTCCCACAAGCAGTCGTGGATTGAGTGACCAAATTATTATTTAATTTATTTTCTTGACGGATTATTATCAGGCATGTGGAGTAAGGAAGCTTGCCCAATGTTTCGCCCTACCAGGAATCGAACCCAGGTCTCTCACTTGCGAGGTGAGTGCTCTAACCACTGAGCTGCAGGACTCCAAATCCTAGAGATAGATTGCTGGAATGGATTGTGCCCTCTCCCCCTGGAGGGACACATCCTGCTTACCTAATTCCGGAAAGTAGTAAGCGAGAGGACCTGGGTTCGATTCCCAGGCAGGGCCAAACTTTGGGCAAGTTTCCTTACTCCACACGCCTCTGTTCATCTGGCAGTAAAATAGGAGTTAGTTGATTGGTAGATTGCTTTTCTGAGGGTAATAATCCCATTAAAAAAAAATTGATAAATTGGTCACTTAATCCACGACTGTGGGACACTGCTGTGCGCTATTGGCTGCCACGTTTCGCCCACAAAATATATAGTCAATTCACTTTACAAGATATTCTGTGAAGCGCTTTTAAGGACGGCACCTCTGAGAATGCAAAACACCCCCAGCACTGCACGTGAGCATCAGTTTAGACTCTGTGATTCCAAGTCCCGACGTGGGGCTTGAACCCACAACCTTCTGACTCAGGCTGAGAGTACTACCAACTGAGGCACAATTAAAACTGAATTCAACAATTTGCCAAATTCTGGATATCTGAAATGCTCTCAACCCAGAATGGGATTTCTCCCCAATAGTTTCCTGTGTGGGGTAAACCGTGTGATAATCTGGTGAGAATGATCTACCTCTTTGCTAACCCTGTTTATCCAAACTCTGTTGTTGCTAGGTTGTTTGTCAGACTGCAGAACACGTACTGAGACTTACACTCAAGCAGCCCCTGGGCTTACTGGGAGGTGGTTGCACTGAAGCTCATCTGACCACCTACGTCAGGCATAAGGTTTGCGTTTGTATAACTATCCTCTTTGTGTGGGGGAGGGGTGGGGTGGAGAGGTAAGTGGGGTCTCCCTGCAGCTGAACTGGCCCCAAGGTGACATGCCTGGCAACAGAATGTGGGAATCGAGGCAGCCCTCTGTGACGATCTCTAGTCCGGTTCCTGAGCCAGGAGGGTCCGCAGTATTCCAGGGCACTGCTGATGACAGCACAGCCCACCCTGGCTCATTGGCAGGACCTGGAGAGGCAGACGAATCATTGGTGGCAGGGAATCCTCCCATTCAGCTCATGTTAATCCCTTCAAAATAATAACAATAATTTGGTCACTCAATCCACACTGCTATGCACAAACTGACTGTCGCCTTCGCTCACAAAGTATATAGTCACTACACGATACAGTATATCGTGTGAAGCACTTTGAGACGTCTCAAAGACGTGATAAAACTCTATATCAATGCCAGGATTATTATTACTATTTATTTTATATATATTAATATCACATTTAAAAAATATTATTAATAATAAATAATGCAGGCAACTATTACCTCAAAATTAGAATCCTTTAGTGTGATCGGCATCACACCAATTACACTAAGCTCTCACTATCTCGCACTATCATAGTGCCTTGACATGTACAGTGGGATCTGACACCGAACAAAATCTTTAACTGAGTGTCACAGAAAATACATATATAAATTATAATACTGTATAAGACTGTATCAATAATACTCCTTCCATTTTGATGTTGTGCCTTATATCGTTAAGATGCCTCAACGAGTTGTGTGTTTTGTAAGTGAACGCAGCAGCCAATTTTCGCACAGCAATGCCCCAAGTGAATTCCATGGCAATTGTCAGCCTGGACACCGCGAGAGAGAAACTGTTGAGAATGGTGAAGTATTGTGTCAAAACGTTTCGCCCACAAAATACAATCAATTCACTTCACAGTATATCCTGTGAAGCGCTTTGAGGTTTCTTGAAGACGTGATAAAGCGCTGTATCAAATGCAAGGATTATTATTATTATATTAATACATCATAAACGATGTCCTCTTTACAGAGCTGCTGTGTGCCTGACGACGCGTTGGCGGAGCTGGGCTGTTCTCGAGCACAGTACAGAGTCGTCGCTGACTGTTTCTGCCGCTCGCTGGATCACACAACTTCGTGCCTAGAGCACGATGGTGGTGAGAGTCTTGTCGACTCCGAGTACGGTCATCGTTGGTCAGTCCCGCTCCAAACGCCCCTGGGCACTGACTGGTCACAGGTCGTTTCCAACTGTGCTTGCGGACTGCACGGCAGCCACCAAGATCTGCTGTGGACCCTGTTGAGGAATCGTAGCGAAGTGGTTAACAAGGGGATGGGCTCTGCCAAACCCTGCACAGGAGTTTTACCAGACCGGTTCCTGCTTGATTCGTTTCCTGTCAAACTGAATGCTTTACAAGTGGCGGTGGAGACGGCCAACGTAATCTTGCAGCTGCAATACGTCATCCAGGCCCACAACTGAATTCCTGCTCCTGAGGAAAGAGTGTCCTTTATCACAACCTCACACACGCTCATCACACTTCATCCCTTCAATGCCAACAAGAGAATCTCATGTGCTTTGTGTGAACATTTCATTTTGTATTGATTCATCCTCATCACATTGATTTTTTGATTTTTGCTGAGGCGTCTGTCTGACACATGTGGAAACCCATCACCGTGTTTAAGAGTCTCCAAACCAAGCTGAGGTTTCCCTGCATCCCACCTACACATGAAAATCCCAGAGAGAGATTGTTAGAATGGAATGTGCCCTCTCTCCCTGGAGGGACACATCCTGTTTACCTAATTCCAGAGAATATTAGGCGCAGGTTGGCAAGAGCCAAGGCTTGGGTACCCCAGAGTGTATGTTGGGGTAACTGCTGGGGTTTAACCAACTAAAACCGAATAGCTTGCCATTGAGAGCACTATCTGACAAGCTTTCCTTTAGTGCTTCGGCTTGCAGGGTTAACAGAAGCCAAGTGGGATGACTCCCTGCCCCCAGTGACTGGTCTGCACTTCCAGGTCCTGCTGATGAGCCAGGCTGGGCTGTGCTGTCATCAGCAGTGACCTGGAATACTGTGGACCCGCCTGGCTCAGGAACCAAACTAGAGATTGTTACAAAGCCCTTGCTCGATTCCTACATTCTGTTGCCAAACATGTCACCTTTGAGTAGTTCTGCTACAAGGAGACCCCATTAACATTCACTAGTTGGTTATTTGTATTCATGGGCAAAACTCAGGTTCTCTTTTTCAGATATTAGAAATCGCTTCGTTTTGGCTCTTACCATTCTGCGCCTAATACTCATGTGTGAGGTTAAATTTGAGTTAAAAGAATTGTCAACCGCTTAGGGATGTCCTTTGAATATAGAAGACCCGATGAAAGTGTCAATTGTAGCGTATGTAAGGTAATGATCTGAAAAAATCTCCAGAATCTAAACCACTGATCACGTCTATTTTGAGGTTGGCCCCTAGTATAGTGGAGTCCTATAGCACAATGGCCAAAGCACTCGTCTCACAAACGAGAGGACCTGGGTTTGATTTTGGGCTGGGCGAAACCTTAGGTATGTTTCCTTACTCCATATGCCTCTGTTTACCCTAGTAGTAAGTAGGAACCCGATTGTTAGTCAATTGGTGGATTCTGGGGTAATAATCCCTTCCAAAAACAAAAATGTGGTCACTCAATCCACGACTGTTTGTGGGAAACTGCTGTGTGCAATTGGCTGCTGTGTTTCGCCCACAAAAATACACAGTCAATCCACTTTACGTATATCCTGTGAAGGTCTTTGAGACGTCTCAATGACGTGATAAGGCGCTATATCAAATGCAAGGATTAAATGTTTATATTCTTTTTATGTTTCGCACACAAACCAAATTGCATCATGTCTGAAAACACAAGTGGAGCTGCGTGTTACTGTACAAAATGATAACGTGTTAATTTCACCAATGTTATCATTAATAACAGTAATTGTAAACCTTGCAATTGATGCAGCATCTTTTGCATTGGGAGGACATCCAGGAATCGAACTGAGGTCTCTCGCTTGCGCGGCGAATGAACGAAGGTCACCTTTACAGGGTAGTGTGGAGCAAGAGAGCACCTGACACGAGATGGTTTGGATTGGAGTTTGTTTCCTTTACTCTTCCTAAACTCTTACAACAATGACATATTTTTCCATTACAATTGCACAATTGGCTGCCATGTTTCACCCACAAAATATACAGTCAATTCACTTTACAGTATATTCTGTGAAGGGCTTTGAGAAGTTTGAAGACATGATAAGACGCTATACGTGGAGTCCTGTTGCTCAGTGGTTAGAGCACTCGCTTTGCAAGCGAGAGACCTGAGTTCAATTCCAGGCAGAGGGTGAAACCTTGGGCAAGTTTCCTTACTCCACACAGAGCCTGATAATAATCCCTCCAAAAACAATAATAAAATTGGTCATTTTCAATCTATGACTGTTTGTGGGACATTCCTGTGCGCAATTGGCTGCTGCGTTCGCCCACAAATATACAGTCAATTCACTTTACAGTAATTCTGTGAAGCGCTTTGGGACGTCCTCCCGACGTGAAAAGCGCTATATCAAATGCAAGGATTATTATTATTATTAGAACGCAACAATTACTTCAATGTGCATGTCTCAGTTGTGTGAAATGTATTCAGAAAGCCGGGCAGTCTGGTTTCTAAATAAATCCGTTTGCCAATAATATTTTTATCCATGGCTGAATCCCGCAAAGCGCTTTGCAACGTGTCAACGACGTAATAGGGCACTTGTATCACGGGTGAGGATTGATGATCAGAATCTCTTTGCTGTGTCCGATGGGGCTGCTTTGAAAGGAGCGGGATCGTCCACCCAGGGTTGTGGCTGAGTGAGCGGAGATGACGGTGTCACTGTGTGCCAGGTTTTCTCCCAGCATTGTGATGGCTGGCTGATATACACACAAAAAAATGTGTTGAATCAGCCCATTTTGTTCTGTTGGAAGTGTTCTGACTCGCTTAACAAGTGGCTGCCACGATAAAAAATGCCTAACTCTTTGATTTTCTTTTGTCTGCCACTGAGCACTCACATTCGTTCAGGGTTTTTTTTTCTCTCCAAGGCAGAGAGGGCAGCGTTCCAAAAAGCTCAGATGATTTATGCACTGAGAGAATTAATGAAGTTCAGAGCAGTGTGGGAACAGCGTGAGAGGGTGAGTAATGATGAATGAGACACAACAAAACAATACCCATTAGTCCAGAGATTTCAGAGCATAAAACCCATCTTCACAAGATATAATATGGAATATATACAGTGTATATACACATATAATATGTACAGGATAAAATAGTAACTTCAACTTGGGTCTTGATTCTAAACAGTCTAGGCTGACACTCCACTGCTGTATAGGGGAGCTCTGCATTGTCGGAAGTACCATTCTTTAAATGTGACGTTAAACCAAGGTTTTATCTGTGACTCGTCAGGTCAACATTCGCGCCACTATTTGAAAAGAAAAGGGAGTTTCTCTCTCCCGGTGTCTTAGCCAACAATCTCCCACATAAAATTGCTTGTTCACTTCATGGCTGTTAGTGGTTCACAAATGTTCACCCACAAAATAGTCACTAAACTTTACGTATATCCTGTGAAGCACTTTGACAATGGGATAAGGTGTGATATCAAATGAAAGGATTATCATTATTATTATAGTAATCCTTGCATTTGATACATTTGCCTTTCACATTGGGATGATGAAACCCATCACAGTGATCAGCTGGGTGTCTGGCACACACGGAAACTCAGCCCCGTGATCAGCCAGGTGTCTGACACCGGAAACTCATCACCCTGATCAGCCAGGTGTCTGACACCGGAAACTCAGCCCCGTGATCAGCCAGGTGTCTGACACCGGAAACTCAGCCCCGTGATCAGCCAGGTGTCTGACACCGGAAACTCATCACCCTGATCAGCCAGTGTCTGACACACGTGGAAACCCATCACCATACTTAAAAGTCTCAAAACTTGACGAAGAGCTCCATATCTGCTACTGACCCATGGATATCTCCCTGTGTCTGGGGGACACATCCTGTTTACCTAATTCCAGAGTATTAGGCGCAGATTGACAAGAGCCAAGGCTTGGGGACCCCAGAGTTTGGGTTGGGGTAACTGCTGGAGTCTAATCAGCTAAAACCGCATAGCTTGCCATTGAGAGCACTGTTGGGCAAGCTTTCCCGCTGCCTGTCCAGCTAGGACCACCCTACCCATTAGGGCTTTGGCTTGCAAGGTTAACAGGTACTGAGTCAGAACAATCCCTGCCTCCAGTCTCCGCTCCAAATTTTGCCGAAGTTTCAGGATGCCGTGGAGCCTGACCAAAAAAAAATAATATTCATATTTGATACAACGCCTTTCACATCAGGAGGACATCTCAAAAAGCTTCACAGGATTTACTGTAAACTAGTGACTGTATTTTGTGGGTGAACTCGATAGCCAGTTTGCACACAGCAAAGTCTCACAAACAGCATGTCTGGAGGATTGTCGGCTAAGACAACGGGAGAGAGAGAGAAACTCGCTTCTCTTTTTCAACAGCGCCGTAGGATCTTTAATGTCCACCTGAACAGGTGCAGACAGGATCTCGGTTTAATGTCTCTTCTTTAATGTGCACAAAACACCCCCAGCATTGCACTGGAACCTCAGCCTGGAATGTGAGCTTAAGATTCTTGACGTGGAGCTGGAACCCACAACTCTCTGACTCAGGCGAGCGTGAGACTGATTGAGTCAGGCTGATGTAAGTGGGAGTAAAGGGTGACTTAAATAACAAGACTGGAACTCGCAAGAATGATGAGTCTGTGGGAGTGGAAGTGTTTACCGAGTAATTTATTGGTAGTTTTGAATAAAGCAAGACATGGATGAACTGGCGGGTTGACTGTGAGAAAGTCAGAGCCATAGCGAGCGAGAGAATGCAAATTAAGGTCAATTGTTCTGGAGCTATTGGTAGGAAACAGGATAAGAGATAAAGCCTGACACAGCGCAGACCCATCTCACAACCTATGGGAGAGAAAGCAATTTAATGGCCTGGTTCCCATGTAACATAGTGCTGGCCTGTCACAAATTCCACTGTGTAACCTAATCTTCCTGTGGGTGTCCCACTCCAACACTGAAGGGAGACATCTGGGTAAAGCAATCACTGACACTTACCCCCAGTTTGTGCAGAGCCAAGTCAGATTTCCTTCATGCTAATAATAATCCTTGCATTTGATACAGCGCCTTATCACATCGATAAGCATAATGTAAAGTGGATCGAAAAACGGCAGCGAATTGCTCACAGCAGTGTCCCACAATCAATTGTGGGTTGAGTGACTGCATACTTTTTTGAAGGATTAATACGCCAATACCCCAAAAAGCGAAAGCGATCTGTCAATCGACTAACAACCGGGTTCCTACTTACTGCTAGGTAAACATGTGGAGCAAGGAAACTTGCCTAAGGTTTCGCCCCACCCAGGAATTAACTCCGGGTCCTCTCGCTTGCGAGGCGAGCGCTCTAACCATGACGCTGTGCGATTCCACTTTGCTTGGGGAAAGGAGTGAGACGTCAATCAACAGCACATTGTGAATGGAAATGGGATCAAAAAGCTATCAGTGCCATTTGTGTATCAATACATTCGATTGCTACACAAAAATGTTCACAGTAAGTATTTAACAGCCTCTCACCAGC